TCTTCAATTAGTGTTAGTAAGTTGATTGGTGGAGTGATTTGGAAAGCTAGGAGGACCTATAGCTCTCTCTCTCTTGTTTTTAAGGTAAGCTGTGAAGAACCACCCTCCTCCTTTAATTGATGCTTAAATCATGCTTAGTGGGAGTATAAGATGCAAGTTTATGGATTATTTCTTGATTTGTGGTTGAAATGATGAAATTTTATTATTTTTGGGGATTTTTCTGTTTTAATATAAGCATGATTGTGTGGCTATGTATGATAATTGGAAATGATGTTTAAGGCATCTAGAAGGTGGAAAAAGTGATTAATTGCAACCAATTTCTGTTTTGGAAGAAAATTGAAAAACCTAGGGTTCATGAAGGAACATTCTACCCGAATTTATAGCTCCTAGTTAGAGGCCGAATTGGCCTTAGCTTAAAACATGAAAGTTGTAGGGAATGACATTTTAGAGGGGCCAACAAAATTTCAGGTCAATCGGAGTAGCGTAGAGTGAGAAAAGTTGAAATTACTATTGCTGTTCTGGTTTTACCAGAATGCAAGAATTGCACCGGTAATTGGTTGTTTTGGCTGGAATTGCTTCCAAATTGGTTGTTGTGGTCTTCTGATGAAATGTATTCCTGTTCCTTAGCTTTTAGCTGGTTTTGGAATTTTTGGATTTGGACTTAGAGAGTCTGAGTTATGATGTTTCCGCTAGAATGCGTTTTGGTGAATCTGTTTTACGTTTTTGATGTAGTATCTTGCATTTTTGACCTGTTTGCACTCAAAACTGGGTTGAGTGACCTTCTGTGATGTTGTAGCCCTGTCTTTTAGCTTCGAGATGGTGGGTCTTGCACCCTCATCCGATAATCTAGTGAAATTGGTGCCATTACCGCAAAACGAGGACAAAAACTGTTTTTTTTTCAAGGCCAAAGCTAATTGCATTTCCGAATTTTCTGGTTTCCTTTAATGTTTGTGTATGCTTAGGGAACCCTGTTTTGGTAGTATATAGAATTGGTTTATGACTTGTAATTTAGTCTTATTGTGTTCATTTGAATAGTTAGGGCTTTACTTTCATATTCGGTTATTTCCTAGCTAAATTTTGTACTTGAATATCATTAAGCCTAGTGAACGGCTTTTGGGAATGAAATTATTTTTGTACAAGATGTTGGGACTGATTTGAGGAAATAATGAAGCCATGATGGCTGGAAAATAGGTAAACACAAAGGATATGCTGCCGAAATTTTACTTGAAGGCTAGTTGGATTTACTTGTGTTTTGAGCGAAGGGCTTTTGGGTTGTTTGAGCCTAGGTCTTCATGTTACCTTTTCGTTACCAAAAATCATGTTTTGCACCCTTGCTTTAGTAAATTTGGCGAGGCATACGACTGGTAGTCGAGCCTCACATGTGCATTCTGTATGCTCAATTTTGAAAGTGGAACCTTCAATTGTTTTCCTTGGATTATTTTAGGGTTTATTGGTGATTAAAGCTCTCTTTTGGGAGGTATCTGCACTGACCCTGGTGAGTGTACTACTCACTTGTGTGTTACTATATGGCTTTGAATGTAAATTGCTTGAAGTGAATTGAATGTGACTTGATTGCAGTGAAAGTGTACTTTATCACTCTCACTTATATGCCTTATATCATTATTGTCATGTTATTGGAATGTTACATGAAATGTTACATGAAATGAAAGTACTCGACTTGGTGTCGATTGGACGAGTATCCAACGACTACAAATGTTATCAATGAGCTCAACCCCATTGGTAGTTGATTGAATCGAGCCGGCGAGGGCTTGGTCGTGCCAATTAATGAACCTTGGGTAAAGTTATATGGAATCTTGTAGTATGCGAGACTCTCGATTCCGGTATACTCGAGTAATACTAAAGTGCAAGTGTTTGGAGTTCGGGCCCGGTAGGGGGATGTTAGGTGGAAGGAGTGGAGGTAAAGTGGAGTCTACGGTTGGTTACTTTTGAACATTGACGGAGGGTCAATGACGTCCGATCAAGAAATGCAAACGAGGAAAGGGCTCTTGAGAGCCATCTGTATCCTTTTCTCACCATATTGGACGTGTGCCTTTGTTTATTTTTATTATATTGATTGAAAGCTTGATGCTTATATGCACTTGGTTGCGTAAGTGATAGTATCTCACTGGGCAATTAGCTCACACCGTTCCTTTTGTTTTCCTTACAGGAATATGACTCTTTTTGGAATGAATCTTGATAGATGATTGCCGAATGAACTAGATGTATATCTCTTTTGTATTGTATATGAAGTGAAACCCTAAATGTATCTTTAGGGTCGTTTTCACTTTCAATTTGGCAAACTGTGTATATATTAACTTTTGAAAACTTTTGTATGTCACTTTGGATTGTAATTGCTAACGTTCAAGATATGAATGTTTGTTTGATATTTGATTGCGTTCTGACGGGTCGGTTACTATTCATGGTCGACTCCGAATTTCATTTTTTTTTATTTTGGGTTATTTTGCCCTTTTGCCTTGTTTACGCGCGTTATAAGTTCCGGAACGCAATAGATCGCTCTGAACTGCACCGTTAGTCCTGGCGAGAGCTGGGCAGGCAGTCCGCTAACCCCTTTGGTTCGCCTTAGGGGAAAGTGGGGCTGTCACACAACGTTTTACACTTTGAACCACAAAATATATAATTCACTACAAACCTTTTTTTTTTTTTTGTAAGCAGAAGGAATCGAACCCGAAACCACCCAACCCATCCTGTTGACCTTGGTCGATCAATCCTTGGTTTTGATGATTAACAAACCAAAATGTAGATTTGGGCTAATGTTTTTATGTGAGCAATTTGTTAGAACAGATTCTTGTGGCACAAAAGAAGAAGCAAAAATAGGGCACTCGTGTCCGCAAACGTTGCGGATCAAAACGATCTCTCGACGTCATCGGCAAAGATTTGATGACTCTCTGGACATTCACGCAGGGTTCGGACGTCCGACAGGTGGTTCGGACGTCCGACGGACGGCGTTTTGACAGCATTTATATTTGACCGTTGGAGAGCCTTTTGGAGCCATTTCTCACCTTCTATAAACACCCAAAGCACAAGAAGACAAAGGACTTTTGCCAACACAAAATACAAGCTTACAAGTGAGATTTTTGAGTAGAAAGATTCTTTGTTGGTTGTATAAGGGGTTGGGGAAGTTGGGTTGTGAGATTGCTCAAGTGAAGGTTACTCTCTAGGAGGAGTAAAACCTTGGTGAAGGTGAACCTATCACTTGAAGTGGTAAAACCTTGGTGAATGTTGCCTCATTTGTATAAAATAGTTCTTAATTGGGTGAGTGATCTTTCAAGTGTAGGTTGTTGAGGGTTAACTAGAATAGTTGTAAAACTCCTTGGCTCAACCAAAGTGTGTTTGGGGTGAGGAAGGAGTGAGCCTTCACTTGTACATCTTGGTTAGCATCGCCATCTATTGAAGAGGCTATTGGATTGATATTTGGTTTGCATTTCTTATCTTTTCTCTTTAATTAAGTTTTCTTTATTGTGCTTAAATTTGATATATCTTTGTGCATCATTGTAAAATTGTTTGTACTCATTGGGTTGCACCAGGCCTTACACATCCCCCCTACCCCACTAGAAACCTAGTTAATTAACTATAAAAATTAATAAAATACACCAAAATTAAATAATTAAACACATTTAAAACACTCAAAATACACACTTATCAACAAAATTCAAAAAAAAATTAGATTTAACAACCAGATCTAAAATAAATTCAAATTTAACAACAAATAAGAAAAAAAAAACAAAATTTCCACTAAAAAATCTAGGAGAAACAGAAAATTCTTACTAGAAACCCTTAAGTAAACAATAAGAAAAACTTAGAAGAGACTTTATTTTAAAAAAAAAAAAGTTAAATGAAATCTATGGGGAGTAGAGGTCTCTTTCCCAAAGAAGAAGATTCTCTAACAATATCAACAACAACAATAAATTATAAATAACAATAATAATAATTTCATAATGAAATCATCTAACAATATCATAGAGTACCTAATAGATACTAATTACTATCACAGAGTACCAATTGCAAATCAAGCTTCTTAAATGGGGCTATTCCTTTTGGATTTGAAATACCAGAAAATAGTTTAACGACACAAAATTAAATTTGATCCTTATACATTTTTCCCCATGGTCAAATCAAGGATTCTTTCTAAACCTATTTGCCTCTTTCGAAAATAAGTCCAAATTAAATATGATCCTTATACATTTTTCTATTTTCGTTTAAGGACTTCATATATGCATAGGAATAGCAGAAAGGGGATAATTCCAAGGTAATCTTTTATGGAAACTAGTTGAAGTCCCTAAGCATTGGGTAGTAACATCCTATGTATTAATGACACAAAATTGTCATCAATCGATAAAAGAACTGATAAAAGTTAGAAATGCTTAGTAGAATTGATCAAATGACTTTTATCCAGTTGAACCCAACTGAACAAAAAGAAAAAAGAATTTTGTGCCTTCAAAATATTTATCGATTCATCTTTTCATCTTTCCTTATTTTTCCATTAATATAATTATTTTGTACCCCAGTAAAATTTGGTGTACCAGCTTTAATCAAAATATGAACCTCTTAATGTGTATAAGAAAATTCTTATAATTGAATAAAAGGGAGAATTGTAATTTTGGTCCCCAATCTATAGTGTATGCGCGGAGTTATCCCCAATCTATTTCGAAAATCAATTTTGGTCCCCAACCTATTCAATTTTGCGCTAAAGTGAACAATTGACGGAATCTCTTCAATTTCAATCGGAATTAAGCGCGTGAGATCACGTGCTGGTAGCTAAAACCCCTTTTTCAATTTTTTAACTTCTAAAACACGTTTTTTTAATATTTTCAGCTTTCTCTTGCCTTTTGTCTTACTAAACAAAGACATGAAAGGGGTAATCTCACAATCCAAATTACCCCTCTTGTTGGCCGCCGCCTTCAAATCCCTAGAACCCACAGCACGAGTAAGAAGCTCAGCTTGGCCTTCAAGTCCAAGTCTCGTTCTTGCCTCCATTACTAATGGAGATAATCTGCAATCAACGCCAGAGACGGACTCAGTTCAACTCTCCTGCACAAACAACAGGAGCACCAATAGCAGCAGCAGTACTACTTCATAAGCAAGCAGCCAAGAGAGAAGAGCGAAAGATAATAATTGGAAATCAAAGGGATTATACGGACCAAATCATCAATGGGATTATATTGGTAAGTATATTCTTTCCTTATTAGCCATTCTTCACCGTTGAACTGGAATGAGCATTCAGTTGAACCACTAGTATATTATTGGTAGGTCATGCTTACGGCTGGAACAAACACTTCATTGGTGACTATAGAATGGGCCTTGTCTCTTTTGCTCAACCATCTCGAGGTGCTAGAGAAAGCTCGAGCTGAATTGGATGCTCAAGTAGGGACTGATCGATTGGTTAACGAACATGGTCTATCCAATCTTTCTTATCTTCATAACATTATTTCAGAAAAACTTTGGTTGTACCCAGCAGCACCAATGCTAGTGCCAAATGAGCAGTCCAATGACTATAAAATTGAGGGATATAATATTCCACGAGGCACAATTTTGCTAGTTAATGTATGGGCAGTTCATATGGACCCAAACGTTTGGGATGATCCAACAAGCTTCAAACCAGAGAGATTCGAAGGATTGCAGGTTCAGCCATCAAAGCTGATTCCATTTGGGATGGAAAGGAGATCTTGCCCTGGTTCTGGCCTAGCATAGCGGGTGCATGGTGGGTTTGGCCTTGGGATCTCTAATTCAGATTTTTGATTGGAAAAGAATTGGCGAGAAGGAGATTGATCTGGCTGAAGGGATAGGAGTATCCATGTCAAAAACCAAGCCACTAGAAAAAACGTGTTTTAGAAATTAAAAAATTGAAAAACGAGTTTTAGCTGCCAGCACGTGATCTCACATGATTTAGTTCCGATTGAAATTAAAGAGATTCCGTCAATTGTCCACTTTAGCACAAAATTGAATAGATTGGGGACCAAAATTGATTTTCGAATTAGATTGGGGATAATTACGCGCATACACTATAGATTGGGGACCAAAATTACAATTCTCCCTTGAATAAAAACAATAGACTTTATAGATAAAAACAAAGTTTTTATGCTCCCCAAAAAAAAAAATCAATTTTTTTTTCAACTTTTGGTCTCAAAGATTTATTCTAGAACCTTTGGAACGTGGTCAATTTTGGTGTGGTAGAGAATATGCATGCATGCCATTGCATTCTTGCGGGACCCCAAATGCTTATTAGTAAGATACATTGAATCTAGACATTGGCATTTCGACTCGTACGCAAAAACACGAAAACGTTTGGGAAAGCCCACAGTGGTGCCATCTGTTTCATAATTTATTAAGTCATCACGAGATGAACCAAACTGCCAAAAAGTTTCACATGCTAATTACTCTATGCCTTCTCGTTGGGTAATTGTTACTGGATGACTTTTTAGGACACTTAAAATTATATTTAACTTATCATTATAATAATAATTATTTTATTTTATATTTATAAATTTTTCATATTTAATTTTACATTTCCAAAATATTAACACCTAAACTATTGCCTTGTATGGCAGACGAGTTTTTTGCCAAATTTGTCTGTTACAAGTTTTTTAAAAACTTTAGTTACAATAATTTCAAAAAACTTTTCAAAATTTTTAAACTATACATTTCAAAGTATTCAAAAATATATATACTTCAAAAAATTTTTAAAAAACTTCTACAGTAAGTTGCAGTAGAGTTTTAGTCAAACACGCAAAAAATTCACTTGCCAAACGGGTTTTATATAATTAAGCACTGTTAGACAGACCCTTCTTATCTGACCCAACATTTCTATTCACTACTTAGGATCTGAAATAACCTAACCATATTGTTGGTTTTGAAATGGGTTTGCTTACTTGGTAAATCAGTTTAATGCAGAACTTATCCAAATTTTAAATCAACTTGCATACTTCTTGAGGGAATTGCTTAAATGACTAATTCCAGTATTCCATTTTCACCACTCATATATTTATTGATTCTCTAATTGCGCCGTTGGTTTTAAATTTGGGTACTTTGAACATTAAAAGTTACAAATAATGCCATAATGCACCTAAAAACTTTTATAATAGGGGCACTTTCCACATGCCTTAGAATTATTGTTCCTATCTGCAATGCCACTCATATGTTTAATCTTCAAGGTAGGCATTAGCCTTTAAAGATTCCCCGAACAATGAGCTAATGCATATGCTTTAATCTACATTTATTACTAATATAAGTAATTATATTATAACGGTTGAGAAAGTTTTGGTATGATGATTAAAGTTGAGGTCAGGATTAAAGTTGAGGTCAGGACTATTAGTTTTGGGTTCAAATTCTCATTCTCTTTCTTGTCTCCTTAAATCCTATCCCTCCTACAGAAATTGTTTTTTAAAAAAATTACATTATAAGCAATTACACTAATTGGGACACTTTGATAACTTGCAAAATAATCAAAATAATATTTTTTTTTATAAAAAGCAAATTTCATTAATGGATTGTTGAAAATTGTCCAGCATAATTTGATTTACATCATTACCTTAGTGACAGACTAAACATACACAAAAAATTATAGATCTATAATTTAACAGAGACAATAAATCATAAAAACTTATGAACATATCTAAAAAATCCAAGAATATTTCAAAATTGTGTTGATAAATAACTATAGCTCTTTTTTGTGCATATTGCAATCACCAGATCTATTAATAAATCCCTTCAAATTCTAATAATGATGATGAGATCTGTCAAAATAGATCCAAGATCTAAAAAAATTCAGATCAGGCAACTAGATCTAAAATAAACTCAGATGTAATAACAAAATATAAGGAAAAAAAACACAGAAAAAGCTCCATAGGAATCCCTAGGAGAACAAAAAATTCTCATTAGGAATTCTTAGGAGAAATAGAAAATTCTCACTAAGAAAACTTAATAGAGTTTTATTGGAAAAACAACTTAAAATAAAATTTATGGGACTCTCCCTAAGTGGGAGGCCTTTGAGAAAAGGAGAAAATGCAGAGAGAAGTTGGGGAAGAGGAGAGGTATCAAAATAATAGTTAAAAGTGCAACATTAGCAATGATGAAGATATGAAATAGTGCAAAATAGAATTATCCCGTTGCTTAATTTTTGCTTTGATTCACTTACAAAATTTATAATTTGGTTAAGTGGTATTCGAATCTTCCAAAGGAACAGATACTATTATTATGACAGAATGATCAAGACTAGTCAAACTAAGTCAAATTCGAGATTCAAATATTCAATAGAATAAAATCCAAAGTTTTTTATTTCTTTTTGTTTTCACTTTCTTCCGCCTCATCACATTGTAATTTTAACAGCATTTGATTCTGCACCGAATTGCTGAAAGACATTATGAAAGCATTAGTTTAGTCCTTATATGATCAGTTATATCTTTAGATTATCTTTTTATCAGTTTTTGCTGGAAATCGGTTCGAGTTAGGAATCTGACAGAACTAGTGAATTTGCAATAATTGAGAATCAGTCATCTCTTCTCTCCGATTAGATATTGTACCACGAAAGTGAAAAACGACTGCAAACTTATTAAGATCCATAACTGAATGGATCGTGTTCAAAATTGTTCATTTTTCTCAAAAACGTCCTCCGATTGCTCATACTGATTATGGATTTTACTCGATATTTGTTTCGATTTTAAACTAGTCAGAAAAGTTTTGAATATATTGATTTTTTTTTTAACAAGAAGGTGTGAGATTTAAAAACAGCGGAGGTAACAGATTTTGAATCAAGAATCTCTAATTCCTGAAACTTCAACATTAACCTAGGACGAATATATTAATTTAGTTTCCCAATGAAAAACTATTATTATATTATCTTTATTTTAAAATTGGCTAATTTTAGAAAATAAAACACTCCATCAGTTACAAAAGAAAAATCATTATGTTAGTATATCTTTTTAATTCATAAGAAATGACAACATGAAATTCTTAGCGAAAAGTTTACTTTATAGACTTGCAATATGATTAAAAAATGGGAGCTTAACCCTCATTTCCACTTAAATCTTTTAGTTTTTTTGGACAAAATAGAATTCAATATTGTTACTAAACTTACTTTGGAAATCATCCAACATCATTTGTTTGACAAAAAAAAAAAGTTGTACTAATGAAAGAAAATACATAAAATATGTTACAAATATATCTCATCTAAAAAGTCATTAGATTCAATAGAGATAGAAAATAAGAAAATTATATTGTGAATCACAAACAATTAGATCTGATCAATTGCACAAGTTACTCTATAAATATGTATGCATGTCTATTTTTTCAAATCTAATATTCCTCCGGTAAACTAATACTGAAATCTAATGAGATGACCAAGAAATTCCATATCTAGCATTTACATGTGAAAAACTATTAGGTCGGAAGAAAAATAACAAACTACTAAACAAAACTTCAATTAGGATATCTTAGGAGAGAAGAAAACTCTCATTGGCAAATACTAGGAGAGAAAAAACTCTCATTAGGATACTTTAGGAGAGACATTATTAAATACAAAACAAAAATAGGTGAGGAGGAAGGGAAACCTGGACTCAAAACCAAGATCTCTCTCCTATAGAGGAAGAAGAACGATGGGTAGAAGGTTGACAGTAGAGAGAAGGTAGAGAGAGAACAAGAATTAAATCTTATAGTTTATGTACATACAATGATTTTAAGAATGTGAATGAAAAGTATAGCTGGTTTTTTAGGCGTTTGAAATTGTAAATGATGTATTCCATTAAAAAAGTTGGCGAGTGACTACCACAGTGTGCAGTAGCAAACTAGCATTTCCAAAAAATTAGATAGTTTCATTAGACAAAGATGATACAAGGACATAAAATCTCACTGTGTTTCAAAAATTGGTACTCTTTTTTTTTTGGGAAGGGGGTAGGGGCTTAAGATCAATTCAAAATATATTTTTTTCTTTTTTTTATGAGAGACTCCAAGTTTTACAATGAAAAACTAGAAAAGTATAATTTGACAGTGGTACCATAAACCTCAAAGTTACCTAGTTAATGTCTCTATTCAAGATTCGTAATACACTTCTGGATCAACTAATGATGAATAAGAAAGGTCTTTTTTCATTTTTTTTCCTGCATCGAATAAGTAATGATTAAATATAATACGGCCATCATAGTCATTGTTTTATGTTTCATAATTTCCAGTGCAACTGCAAATGGGCAAATGTGTTACAAAATACCGCATGAGAAACTTTTAAATGAGTTTTAGTCTCAAAAAATCAAAAAGGAAAATTTTGATAAGCTCAAAGTATATACCAAGAAAATTGAACACAAAATAGGTTTGTAAAAATCAAATAAGAACTCTAATTAATAATCAAAATGTAGAAAAGCTAACTAAATGATATTCTTTTTCTTTTCTCATTTTTTGATGCAATTACTATCTCATATATGTCTTTTTTTTGCACACTTGAAATGTTATGATAAATTTTGGCCAATAGTGGGTACATATTTTTGTAGTTTAGTTCTCAATTTTCTCAGGGTTTGGCTAGTGGCTACACTATGAGCACTCTCTTTTTTTTTTTTAGTAAATTTTTATTTATTGAAGCAAATAAAAAGAGCCAGAACTACAAATTTTCCCCAGCACGCGGTATTGTCACCTTTGCCCCTCTTACCCTCCTAATAGATGACATGCCTAACCTATCTAGACGGATCTCTCCCCTTACTAACTTTGGG